ATATAATCTATTCTCTATTTTATATGTAAAGTGGTATATATGTAAAAATTGAAGTTAAGGTGTTAGATATGTAAATTCATAAGAGTAGAATGGGGTTGTCTATTTTAAATGTGTAAAGAGTTTCTTAAAATGTTGTAGCCTAGTGCATTTAATATTATAAAACAAAGAGAACATTTTGAGGGAAATAGCTAGGACTAACTATAAGATGCAGAGACCTTTGGTATACAAGCATTTTAGGGGCGGTTTGGGATCGCTTTTGTCTCTTATTTTATACTTTTTTATTTAGTTTATGTTCTGATTTGAAATAAAACATATTTGATATGTTCGATCAAAGTAATTTTGCTATGTTTGAAAACACTCAAAACAAACAAAAGTTATTTTGAGTATTTTCAAAAACATATTCATTTAAAAAGCTAATTATGATATAGACAAATAAGACTCTTGAACGATCAAAATATGAACGATAGAAGACAATTATTTCTTATTTGTGGCAGATGAAGATAACTTTCAAGAAGATTGTGGAGGCAAAATTCAACAAAGGAGCCTATCATGCCTTAGTAGCATATTTAAGGATTACGAATTTTGATTGAGTTTGCAATAGGACTTTTCAAAAAGAGTTTGAGAGAGCTAATATGATAGATGGTGAAGCTATCTTTGATTACTTTTGTTTCCTGCTTAAAAGTAATATAAGATTTTGATGAAATTATTAAGATGTGTCAGTGAATATGAAAAATGCTATAGTCTTTGACTTTGAAGTTCAAACATATAACTCTCATCATTAAGAAATCGGTAGATTTAGAAGGTTTGAACTTCAATCATGTGACATGATCACTTTCAATATATGATCGAGCAACACATTCAAAATAATGAGAATTTTACAAATGCAAAGCAAGCTCTAAAGTCTAGGTTGAGTTTGGAAGATCATGAAGGTCGATATCAAACACGAGGTGCTGTGCATGAAAATGATGTGAAGGAGGTTAATGAAGATTAGGGAATGTTAAAGAGAAAAGAAGGAATTTTATTGTTGAAAATATGAGGATGATCTTGAGATGGTGGAGTTAACTTGAAAATTGTGAAGTGCAACAACTAGACTAGCTTATGGACATGTTGCTTCTAATTGCTTAAGCATGCATGTACGCATATGTATTAATGTTGAATGGTAAAATTTTGTGGAGACCTAAGGATGGTGTAAGCAAAATTTTCTACAAGTATTATAGAGCCTAAGATGGTGAATTAGACTAAGGAAAAGGACCTGGCATCTTAATTTAGGAATAAGCAACCATCTACAAAGTATGGTAAGCTTATATCAATAAATATGTTTCATAAAAGAAGAAAAACCTGCACATATGAATTATATACAATTAATGCTTCTCAAATGAAACTACAAACTTATCTTGGCTTGAAATGTTATTTTCAAGATTTTGAAAATCAGATAGAACTATAAATATGGCAGAAATGTTGTAATAATAATGCAATATTTATAATTATAAAACATATATATATTATGAAATCTAAATCAAAGATCTTAATATTTAAATAACTATGAGGAGTGAATGGCCGACAAAGTAGTAGCATGCAGCTGAAGAGCTAACAGGGAGCAGATGGGGAGCAAGCGGAGATTGGCAGCTGAAGGGTTTTAAGATCACAATTGAGCTGGAGGGAAGCAGGATGCCTCAAACAAATGAATCGAATAATGTTTTTAAATTTCCTCCATTTGTATTAGTATTAGGGAATAAAGATTGTTAATTTTTATATGTATTTATATAAATAATTTCGAAAAAATTGATGAGAATTTTAGGGCAAAGAAATCATAAGAATCGGCGCAAATCAAGAAGAACATAAAGATTTAACGAGGTTCAGCAATTTAGCTACGTCCTCAAGAGCAGAGTGGCAGCTTTTCTTTCTATTCAGAAAAATGAGTATAATACCATAGGGTTACAAACAAGACATATATATAACCCTGACATACAATATGTAATTATAAATTTACCCCAGCGTCATACCTCAGGGTCGTTGCCCCCGCACCTCTAACCCACATAATGAAATTTCCTCCAATTGGATAGTTGCTTCCGCTGGCTCGCTCCATTCAGCTCCAGCATCTGTCCCTTATCTAGTATGAGTCATATCTAACAAGCAAGATTATTAATCACCGTCTTAAGACTCTTGGACACATCAATTCAAATCATATTTATAATAGAAGTTTTGCCATCTCTTGGGAAGGTACATCTATATATATATATTTTTTCCTTGAAATATGCCTCTCAAAGCATACAAAAATAAAAATAAAAATGAATATATCCTCATAGTTGAATTTTCCCACTTTATAGTAATTAATGAATAACACATTCCAACTGGGCATAGAATTGATTCAACTCAGTGCTTAAATAGTCAAACAACCTTTAAAGAGGAACTCTTTGCTTTCAATTGGGTTGAAGTTCTGTAGTTAAGTTCAATTATTGATGTTTCATCAATAATTATTTTTTATGATCAAGCACGAATTATAGTACTTTTTATAAGAAATATGTTATTCCAATTTTATGATTATTCATGCTCAAATTGCATCAAATTTATAATGAAACTGAGTATGTCAGTGACAAACATAACAACTCTAAAATTAGTTTAGTTCGGCTCCAATCAAGCCCATATCAAGTAATTGGAGCAAAATTGTAAGCTTTCGATAATCGATTGAATGGCCAAATAAAGTTTAAATTTAACATATTTATAATCAAATCGAGCGTCTCGATGAGAGGAATCAAAGAACTGAATGTATATAAAAATTAATATAAGTGGATGCATGAGTTAAAGGACATCCATCGACAAGTCAAAGCTATAATTCAACAATAAAAGTATCATCCCATCCTACTCACATCAATAAAATAACCACCTCCATAAAATAGGGGAAACACATGTATATTATAAATTCAACTTTAACTCAAATAAAAATTATGTTTATACATGGATTTTTTTTTCATTTAAAGCTTGTTAATCTAACAAATATCTATTCTTTATTTTTATTTAGTATTAATGATATGGCCATGCTTTTGAATTCTAACCCTCTCCACCCATTATTTTGCACTACCTTCCTCTCAATCTAATTAAATCAGGACATATCCATTCATCACTTGCATGCTTATAACTATTATTGTTTATCTTATAATAATTAGATAATGTTTTTCAGTAACAAGATATTATAAGATAATAATTAGATTACAAAAGAAATAAGCATAAAACAGCACATAATCAAACCTAATATTTCATTTATGAAATATCACCATTAACTAGTTAAGACGAGTGCATAAAAAAATAATAATAATGAAAATGACAGGGGTTGAAAATTAATTAAGAAAATAATCTGATATTTTCAAAGAGGCGACATTTAAAAATTGATGCTTCGATTGGTAGCACGGTAGTGGTTGCGCCACCCCCAACCGTGGCTAGGCCTTATTAGTCAAGAAGGTTGGATGGGCCCAATTAATACTTAACGTGCAACGCTTCATTATTGCTAAACTATACTTAAAGTTAAAATAAGGAAAAAATTTGCGTACGTGAGTGTTATATCGATATTATATTCATGTTATATCCCTTGTAACCTTCATTTAATCTCTATATAACCTAACTATAACCCATTTAATCTCTATATAACCTAACTATAACCTACATTAACTTACAAATAAGTTTCACGCTTCTGTTTTCACATATCTATATGTTACATGTAGATTACATAGAAGTTATATAGAGGTTACAAGAGATATAATCCGAATATAATGCCGATATAACACCCATTATGTACGCAGCGCTGCGTACGTCTTACGTACGCAAATTTTTTCCATTAAAATAATTTATTTTGGTACTCCAATGAATTATGATCAAAATTTTTACGGAGACATGAAATTTTAAAAAATATATTTTTTTCTGTTATTTATTTTCAAAATTTGAGCATTATATTCTGAAAATTTACTTAGGAGCATTTCGTCTAAATGGAGTAAATATTATGTCTGGTTTATCAATAGATGATATAAATCGCACCACGCAACGACGTAAATCTTCCTATTTTTATTCACTATTCCCTTCTAAATGAATGTTTTTTAGGGAGATTTACATACGTACCACCCAATTTAATTACATAACATATAAACTTTGTTTTTATACAACAATTGATTAATACAACAAGTCTCCACACAATACAATAAGTCTTCACATAATATATTCACCAATTAGTCCAGTTATTAAGACATAAAAATGATAAATTAGAACTTAAAATTCTCTCAAATTAATTCTTAGAATACGATGCTCAACTGCTAATGCTGAATAAATAATAGAAAGCGTCTCTCTTCTTAACTTCGGTCTTATTAATATAAGAGGATGAAATATTCATACGTCTTAAAATTAAAAAAAAAGATTCTCTAATAGTAGCTTGTCAATGGTATTTAAATCAAATCCAGTGTGATAGAAGAAAGAAGAATCCCTCCGTCCCTTCTTCGTCTTCTCTGCTCTTGAACTGTTCGATTCCATCTCAATCTCTTGCAATGATCGGATCAGTCTAACATCTTCTTCCTCTCCCAGTTCCATTTCTTTTTCCTCAACTTTGTTCATGGCCGAAAAACCGCTAATACTCAAAGATTACCTCGAGCTCGACTGGATTTCGGAACCATTCCGGTTAGCCCCGCCGAAGCAACCCGCGGGCACAACACTACGCAGCCTCCTCGACACCGAGCTTCGCGGCGGAGGATTTGCCGGCCACCAAGGTCCCAGCTTTCATGTTCGATCTTACTCAAAGACCGCTCTCACGAAGCTCTCTGACCTCATCAAGGCCGTTAATGGCCTACGTTTTTTCACCGCCGGAAGTAAGAATCCGGCGAGCACCAGTCTTCTTCTTAAGAGTTTTTCAAGGAATTTGAGGTGTGGGTTATGGGAAAGAAGCGGTGGTGAGAAAGAAAGGGGTTTGAGATCAGTGATTGAGGAGGAGGTGGAAACAAATTCTGTGTTTTCAACTTCTCCGGTTGTTAGCAGCTGCATGAGCTCGTCGGACGGCGGCGATTCAACCTCTTCTGATTTCCTGCTGTCTTACGGTGTTGGCGCGAGCTCTCACCGCGCGTCGCCGGACCGCCGGGAGCTCAAGGTGAACCCCTCCTCCCTTATTGGAAAACCAAAAATACCTTTTTTTCAAAATATAAAGATATTTAACTTTTGGAAAATAGGAAAATATTTAAATAGAAATGCAACACAACATTCTTAGTGTCTCGAATTTATATCGAAATATATAGATATATATATATATATTTATTTATTTATTTATTTTTATTTTATTATATATTGAAAATGAGATGTATTTTTCATATTTACAGAACATAAATTCATAGGGATTGCGTGTTACGTATGTCTAATAATAAAATTTGAATACTTTCGCGCTCACGTTCTGTCTCGTTCTGGCTCTCTGGAACACAGAGTGGTACTGTAACAACTCATCGGCCTCATGGGTTGGAGTTATTGAAGAGAGAGAATGAATGGGCGGCGTAGTTAAAATTAGAGGAAAAGTGGTGGTTCAAATTATAAATAATCTGCCTTTTGTAGCTACCCTGTTTTGTCGTTTAGAGCAGAGAAGTTTATTGTTTGGAGACCACATGGTGAGGTTCCTGTCGGTTGTTGAGAGAGGTAACACAATACCAACATTTTGGCATCCCGTCATTAACTTCTTTTTCTAATTTGCTTACAAAATTGACCTGCAGCAACAGAAACACATGCCCCAAATCTGTTTTAAATGATATGTTTGGCTCATTTGTCTTTACTAGACTTTAGTAAATTCTGATTAATTCAATTTATATTTAACGTAAATTCGCTATGAATCAAATTGGCTTTAGCAAGGGACTAAGTAAATTGAACAGAAACAGGAAAATAGGGGGAAGGCAATGGATTGTCCGATGGAAGAAGAGAAGGAACAGTTAAGTCCTGTGTCAGTCATGGAATTTCCGTACAAAGACGAGGTGGAGGAGGAGGAGGAGGACGAAGTGGAGCAGCTGCAGCCCTCCACCACCTCTTTTTCTTCGCCGCTACATGAGAGTACGTTCCCCTCTCTTTACTTTTGTATTTTTTTCTTTTTTTAAGTTAAAATCATTGATTTTATTTGATTTTAAATATATTTATATTAAATCAATGCAAATATATTCAATAGCTTAAAGAGCAAAAATTAAAAAAAATGTTTAAATTATTCTCAGCTTTCTTTTTATCTCACACGTAACAATTTGTTAATATTCGAAACTGAATTTTTAATCAAATAAAATTTGGCCAAAAATATTCTCACTAATTATGTAATTCTTATGTTTTTATATTACACCTCACACCTATACTTTCATATTTATATAAATAACATTTCACACATTTTAAGTTTGTGTATGTAAAAGAATATTTTCACATGTACCTGCTAATTTTTCCAATATTACACTTTCCCACATGGTTCCGGGTTTAGACTTGAAAATTGAAACAGAAGCTGACACGTGGATTTCTGTCTGGATAACAATACAGCGACAACAAATCAGCTCCGACCATTCGTGGAGCAGGCCGAGCAGGACAATTTCGAATCGACCGTCCCCCTGCCATATGAAGACGAGGAGGAGCAGCGGAGGAAGGCATTTTCTCTCCTCCACCATGTCGCCGGCTGCCAGCCACTTCCGGCGATCGAAGAGAATTTGCTGTTCGAATTTTTTCTCGAGGCTCTCTCGCTCTCCGGTCGTCGCCGGAGTTGGAGAAGCGTTGGAGAGGAGGAGCTTGTGAGGATGGCGGCGGGGTGGGTTTCCGGCGAAATGGGTGCGGTGGAGGACGGAGCTGAAGTGGTGGTTGGGGAGATGGAGATGGCTGGAGGATGGAGAGGATTTGAGGAGGATGTGGAGATGGTGGCGGCGGAGATAAGCTGTGGTTTGATGACGGGGCTGATGGAGGATCTGGCCGCTGAGCTCTCGCTGGCAGCTTGATTGTTTCGGTAAATTAAGTACAAATGTAGCATTTTTGAAGATATTGATGGTGTTGTTATTTTTCTTATTTTATTAATCATAATTGTTGAAAATTAAGTTCTGCGTCAACGCTCACGCTCTCTATCGTCCAAATAAATATTGTTGATCGATTGATGATATGTTTTTGTAAAATATTTTATCTTTTTTAAATTTTTCTTTTTAGTACGTAAATTATTCCGGACTATAATGTAAATGATAACACTTTGAAGTAAATTTAAAAAAAAAAAGGCTGCTTTTGAAAAAAAAATTAAATCAAGGGGGGACAAGAAGTTATTAATTGCCTACATTGCGGCCCCACTTTCTGTCCGGACTCCTGACGTAGCTCTACATGCCGCGGAGGTTATTCTTGAGTTATTTGCACGTAGAATTACGTCAGGAGTCCGCACAAAAAAATTAGGCCTAAATTGCACTGATTCGATGGGCAGATTTGCAAAATTATAAAAAGGGGTGGATTTTTGCGTCACGGTATATCTATGCTGCTGGGTCGGCGTTGACTCGGGATCACAATTTTGGAAGGATGAGGATTTTGTGCGTTAAGTAGTATATTAATAAGTTAAAGACTGATGCCTAGGCTTAAACTGATTTTTTTTTTATAATTGGAATCAGCTCAACTACAATTGAATAATAAAAAAATCGTGTGGTTGATGGTTCATAACGACTCTCAAACATTTGTCTATTTTTCTCTTTTAGTTCGCTTAACCCTGTTAATATTCATGATAGTTTTCTATTATATATTTATATATGTACTAAAATCAGCTTTGTTGGGCCAAAGCACAGACAATTATCACTCGAATGACCTGCTACACATCGAATGACTTGCATGAGTTGCTGAGCTAACCTGTTAATTTTTTTTGGCAGAATAACCTGCTGACCTGACGGACTCACTTAACCTATCGATCGATTTTAATCGTCGGTTATGTTCGTCTCGCTCCTGATCCTTTGAATTGACACAAAGAAGAAGTCAAGGTGTATGTTTTAGATTGGCACATGCATATGCATATGTATTAATATTTATAGATCTAACACCTAAATTGGTGTAGTCTGACGGACAGACTTAATATCTACAAAAAAGGCTGAATATCATTTTCCTTAATTGCCTTTATATTGTTATTGCTTTCACAAGTTTATTTAAACACCTCAGGTTAGTCTAAATAGTTAAACTAAGAGTTAGTTAATGATAGTAATAGAGTTGGGGAAATATAAGACGGTAGTGAAAGATGGTGTACGATAGCTTTTTAGGAAATCACACCAGAATTATAGTTTGTTTGTCTCTGTTCTGTTTCTTCTTCCCGTTTGCATTGGATTATACTATTTGGTATCAGAGTAATTGCTGAAACTTGCAAGCAACCCGTCAGAGACTATATATAATATATATATATATATATATATATATCTTAAGGCTAAGCTCAAAAGGATGATGCTATTGATTTGCATTCATGTTAGCCATTGACAGATTAATGCTAGCAAGGGAGACATTTGGAACAATTGATCGTAAGGACGTACCAGAGGATTTCCCATTGGATGACGATCGACCTTAAGGTGGATCGGTTGATTGTTGAGCTTCAGATCAAATATCGATGAAGTTAAGGTTAGACCAACATCAATCCGCGAGTTCTATTTTATCCTAATATCTTTGTAATTACTGAAAAAAACCCCTCTAAAGCTAATGTTAGAGGGACTGATCTATAATTTTGTAAGACTTAAATCTATCCCTATAAATAGGGAACCATACCACCAATAAAGGTTGTGCATTTTTGTGATTCTCTACTACACTCTCTCTTGACTCTCGTTTTCCGAACACTTTTAGATTCAATAATACACACGTGTGTGTTTAGATTTACCAGGTATATGAAAAATGAGCTTGAGAAGAAATGTTTCTATTTTACTCAATTTGTCATTATTCACTATAAACATAAAAAATGCTTCACATGCAAATATTGCTCAAGGTCTTTTTTGGATAAACTACTAAATCGATATAGATAAAATATAACTATTCTTCAAAGTGACGAAAAGACAATCTGAATACTTTACATTTAAGTATATGAGTTTTATTTAATTATTTAATTTTTCTTAGAGACGTGCAAATTACAATCCAATATCTTCATATAGAAAACGTTAAAGGTAATATTAAATTACATGTTTAGGAGTCATCCTTATCAATGAAGCAGCGCTTGGTCTCATTAATGTCCTTGCCCGAAGTCCCGGAGTCTTCCAAGCACAATTGGATTAAATTATTTATGTGAAATTTTACATGCATGACCTAAGATGACTTGGACATATTTTATAAAAAGTAATCTTAATTTATTAGAACTAAATGAAAATACGATACTAAATAGGATGCAATGGAGAAAAAGGATTTATGTAGCTGACCCCACTTAGTGGGATAAAAGTTTTGTTGTTGTTGTATTCTTACAGAATGGTGCAAAAGCTTATAAACCTTGGAGTCTTGAAAAAGCCACAATTCTCATAAACAAAAATGTCAATTCTCATAAACAAAAATGTCATGTTGTGCTTGATAAAAAATCTCTACTACATCCAGTAAGTTCAACACCAACCATTTATCATGTAGATGAGTCAGTTATATCAAAGAGCACTCAGATTGAGGTAGATCACTCTATTTTGACAATATTATCTTAACAAACTAGTTGTGATGAATAAACTTTTACTATTGCACTCTCTTATTCCTTGGCCAAAGATAGGGAGATAGGGCAATATACCCACCTAAGTGATATATTGAGGCAGATCTGATCCAATATGTATTGACTATTATAGAGGAGACTCTTGTCATAAGACAGATTTTTTTTAGTTTGGACACTACAAAGTGGCTCTTAGCTATGGAAGAGAAGATGGAGTCATTACATAAAAATTAAACTTGGGACCTTGCACAACTCCCAGAGGAAAAGAAGGTCACTCAATGCAATTGGATATATAAGAAAAAAGACGGCTCTTCATCGGATGGCAAGCTAAGGTATAATGCTCAATTAGTGACAAAGGGATTTTTTTAGATTCTATGAGTTGATTTCATTGATGTCTTCTCTCTAGTTGTAAAGTGCACATCTATTTGTTTGCTGCTTAAGATCGTTGTTGCTTGTGATTTGGAGCTTTAGCAGTTAGATGTTAAGATCTTTTTTCTACATAACGAGATAGAAAAATAAGCTTACTTGATCCAACCTGAAGTTTTAATTTGTTCTGGAAGGAGAAAGGGATTATGTCTGCAGATTAAAGAAGTCATTATATTGGCTAAAGCAATACGCACACCAATAATATAAGAGGTTTGATGTGCTTATGATTATTATTAATTTTTCTAGAAGTGACTTTGACGGTTGTTCGTATTTGATGAAGTTGTTAGATACATCATTTATGTAAATAGTACTCTATATGGATGATTTGCTAAGTGCTGCTAAAGAGAAATCTGAAGTTCAGAGCTAAGAAATTCTTCTTATATCTAAATTTAAAATTGAAATTTTGGGTATAACTAGAAAGAAATGTGGGATATATATTTGTCGAACAAGATCAGAAGTTCGTTTACATCTTTCTCAAACAACCTATGTTCAAAAGGTATTGAATAGATTCAAAATGAAGGTTGTGACACCTATCGCTGCTTCATTTGCTGCATATTTTAGGTTATCAGCAGGATGACTCCAACTATAGATATTGAGAAAAAATATATAGATTATGTTTCATATGCTAGCACCATTGGAAGCTTAATGTATGTCATGATATATGCTCATCTAGACTTAGCTCAGGTATTAAGGGTAGAGAGTAGATATATCAATTCCAAGAAACCAGCATTGGGATGATGTTAAGTGCATTATGAGGTATTTGCACGACAAAAAAAAATACATGTCTGACATTTTTTACCTCTAAATTAGAGTCTATCGATATTGTAGACTCTGATTATGCTGGTGACTTAAATAAAAAAAGGTTCAACATAGATTTGTATTTGTTCTATAATATTATGATGTATGTTGAAGGTCTTTTTTATAACATAATTTGGTTCTCTCTTCAACTGAAGTTGAATATACAATCATTTTTTATGGTCTAAGAGATCTCTTTTGGTTGATGGCTTATATGGAGATCAACAAGAAGTCTATGAAGATGATTGTCTCTATGTGATAGTCAAAGCAAATATCTGACAAAATACCAAATATCTCTTGAGCACATCAACATCAGATTTTATTTTATTCGAGATATCATCAGTCGGGGTTATTTTACAATAAAGAAAATCAGTACTTTGAAGAACCTCGCCAATATGATGACAAACTTTCTTCCAATAACCAAGTTCAAAAATTACTCGAACTTTATCAGTGTTCGATGCAGATAACCCTAAGGGGCATTGGAAAGAAAAATGTAAATTAGAGCTTTACTTTTGGCATAATTTCAAGGCAAAGTGAAGATTATAAAATAATGCGATGAAATTTCTTACCACTTAAGTATGCTTGTTTCCAAAAAAATGTTTTTTGCTTAATATAATTGCTATCAAATAGATGTGGGATTTTTGTTAAATATATTTGTTTTCAAATATATGTCTTGCTTAATATATATGATATCAAATATATGTGTTATTTCTAACCAAAGATATTTCTTGCTTAATACATTTGATACCAAATATATTTTCTGGCAAATATAGGCTTAACAAAATTTTTCTTTCATATTTATCACATTGAATTCATAATTTACTTAGTGCCTAATAATCCGCCAAACAATAGGGCATTACATACGTACCACCCAATTCTTTTGTATTTATATTTACACGATTCAATTTTTTTATTCCACTACAAAAAGAATAACACCATCTTAACTTATAAAAAGTCCATATATAGATAAGATTGGAATATATGCTAAAATTGAAGACTGCCATTCATTCGTTTTGCACTAAGAGTTCTTGCACTGAATCTATCTCCATTGCTTAAATATAATTTTGTCATCAAAACTAAAGTGCATGTCAAATTAAGGAGAAATTATTACGCCCGTCAATCGCATGTCTAGATGACGATCCGAATGGGCCGTCGTGTGATCCACGACGGCATGACCTCATTCAGACCGTCGTTCAGACATGCGATAAGCTGCACGTAATAGTTTTCCCAAATCAAAACATGCATGCATGCATAAAGCATTTCAGAACTTAAATTTAGAAAAAAATAAATTGCCTTTCGTAAATGGAAGTGAAGAGAAAAAATTATTAATTTAAAGATGAATTATTTAGAGTGAAGAATTGATTTTTTTTTTAATTGAGTTAAATTTAATTTTTGATATTGTTGAATCCAATGTGAAACATGCCCAAAGATCGAAGCGGTAAAAAAGTTAACGGGAGAAGTGGAGAGAGATAGAGGGAAAAAAGAGAACATGCAGACTTGCCCTTGTGGGGCGAAATTGGATATTTTTGGGCTCTATGATACATTTCATGCATAGACAATAGATGTTACAACAGAAAAAAGAAAAGAGTTCTTGCTATTGAGTATGAGTCTAGAAAGAAGAGCAAAAAATCCATTTTTAAATATAATGCACCCCTGTTTATAAAAGATAGATGGATCATAGAGTGGGAAATTACATAGCTGCCTTTGCTTTATTAGGAGGCTTCAGGGCATTGTTGTCTTTTGTGTGTCTTTTCATATTTATAACTAATTTTAGCATCTTTTCGTATGTCTCAGGAGGTCCTTGGGTTGGTCGACCGAGCTGGTGTTAGTCGGTTATTGAATACTTTTCTTATAGTTGTTGAGAATCATATGTTGATACCTGTGAGATTGTTGGGTGTACTAGACCATCGTTTGGTCTTTGGAGATTGTATGCTCTCGGTCGACCTAAGTGGCCAGTTAGATTGGTTCTTCAACATGTCGACTTTCAGCTCTTCAGCCAGTCGGCTTTATGACTCATAGCTTTTGATATGGACCGTCAGATTACCTTGAGATCTGTGCAAACCATTTTTAAGTAAGCACATATGACGGTAGAAGCTTAATTATAAAATATCAATTACTTGATGATGGAGGGAATAGGTGCGAAAGATTAACAAAGAAATATATATGTGTATATATCTAAACTTTATGAAGTTGGTCAAGATTCTATCGTCCAATGATCTAACCACCTTAAATAATTGTTGTGTTGTCGAAAGCCAACAAAAAAAGTTCCACGTGAGAAATCCAAATATCTGTATCCCGCCTTCCCCGTGATTTTCTCTCGTCGCATTTTCTTCTAAGAAAGTCTTGCATACCTTATGAGGTTTTCAATATGCATTATGTGCATGCCTTTGTGCTACTTCAATATAAAAAATACTCATTCTAAAGCTGAAATTTTCGCTGCCCAATAATAGTGATATTTTTAATATGATATTAAAATTTTGAGTGTTATAAATGTAAAAATTAAAATTTAAGTGACATATATGTAAATATCTAAGAATTATGTGATATGTATGTAAATGTTCCAAATAGAGATTATGATTGTTTTTTTGTATGGACTAATATTAAAAATGGAGTGTGTGAAACACATAACAACACTGTTCTAAGAAAAAA